CTCAAAAACCTGCTGATAGATGGCGCTAATACCACTATTCTTAATAACCTTTTTAGCAATTTTTATCGACGATCCCTATATTCAGTAGTATGCTGTCACATAAAAAATTCGTAAAAGTATTTTGTAGAAAATAGTGTCGTATGTTTTAAAGAGTCAATATTTTGCATAATGTAAGTGATAGGTACTATAAATCTAAATGAACTAAAATATATCTGAGTTCAGATATAATAATAATAATAATAATACTCTCCCTAATTCACCCCCTTACAAGTGAATTTCAACCCCTGAAGCCGACTAAGTGACTTATGTAGGGAAAGAGATGGCTATTATTATTATTTGCAACTTTACACATACTCTCTAATGATACTATATTAAATTCAATACGAAGTCGTGTAGTTTTTATAATATCATACTCCGATCTTTTATTATATTTTCTGTCATAAAGATGCCTTAGGAATTTGTTTTATTTTTTCTTAAGTTCCTCTAAAGGTGTTATAATGAACCACCTAGGTACATCTTCTGGAACAAATTCATAAAAACCCCTATTGTTACACTGGCTATCAGCAGCCGAGTTGTAAGTTGCACAGTTAAAAAAAAATATCCATTTGGGCAAAAACTACAAATGAATTGAAAGAAAGAAATGAAAGGTAGCAACTATTTTTTATCTCACAATGTCGGGTATTAGAAATTATATAAAACAAGTTAGTATTCAATATCATCCAGACAAAAAACAAAAACATGTTTAAATGAATATATTAAATAAAATATGACCATTCTTTAACATTCTTTAATATTTATTTGTATTATAAAAATAATGTTCATGTCAACAAACTTATGTTCGGTATATGTAACAATTTGTAAATATAACTCTTGTATCATGATAATATTAATATTTAAGGGCTTAACAATATCACAGTTCGAAATTACTTTTTTTGGCCATAATACTTTTTCTTTGGAATGAAAGCATTAGTTCCTATTTTTCAGTTAAGCTCCATAAATTAATTCATATTTTAATCTGAACGATACTTAAGAGCAGTAAAGTTGCAAGAACTAAACAATAAAATGAACTTTTAAAATTAATTTCAGTTTATATTTAGAATTAAATGAGCTAAAATTTTTGACCGTATCAAGTTATTAAAATTATAAATAAGATTCATATGTGAATTTTCAATTTCTATTGATGTGATAGTTACTCATGTGCGTTTTACAATATCAATACATGGCTTGGCTTTGACACAAAACCCTTTGTAGTAAAACTACTAATAGAATCAGACTCTTGATATTATTATTTGTGAACTTAAAAACGTGATCCAGTAGTCAAAATATTTGGTATCATAATTATATATCAAATGCCAATGCCAATGGTAAAGTCTAAAATTTAAAAAAACGCATTATAATAATAAGACATTAATCATATTTTAAATGGATCGCTTACTACCATGTTTTAGAAATAAATAAAGTTTAACTCTTAAATTAATAAACATATTCAAAATAATTTTAAATTCCTTGCGTGATGTTAATAAAAATTATACAAAATTTCTCACCATTTATTTGGTATTCTGTCCCATACTTCCACGCCTCTAATAGCTCTGCTGTCAACTAGTTCTGTTAAAAAACATTCATTGCAAATGAAAAGGATGTTTCAATAGCTTTTCTTTTTGGAATACTAGAAAACTCTGAGACACTTTCTGTTGGTGAACGTCTAAGATATGTATTTAAAAGTACTATAATAAGTGTTCATGAAAAATAAAAAATGTATTACTATTTTATATAGAACATGTAAAATGAGAATATGTTTGTTCAACAATGTTTACTAATAAATTTTATTTTTATTAGTATTTTTCCTTCTTCGTTTAATTATTGTCGTCATTCGTACCATTTCCAACAATATCGGCTCTTGGAATATTTGATATATCAGGCAAAGGTGGTTCTAATATTATGTCATAGCGTCGTCGTAGAGTCAAAACCTCGTATCATCAAATTATCAGGTTTTCAGGAAACACTAAAAACTTTTATGTTCCGTAATTGTTAATTTTGTAAAAGTAGCTTTTTTATATTTGAATTACATTTTCTACAATTGAAAAGTCAAAAAGATGCCAAATGGTTAAGGATTTACGTATTTTTAAAATTAACCTTTAAATTATATTCAGTTACGCCATATTAGATCTTTTCCTTTGCATTGAAAGTGTAGCACTGGGGTACGCCACTTCTGAAAATATCGTTCCATTTATACAAATTGTATGGATGGAATGATATTTTCAATGATGTGTACAGTTATATAAATAACTCATCTATATGTAAATAAAAGGAGATATTTTGATTTATGGCCTAGGTGTATGTACTTAATATGCCAGTCTCAGTTTGTGTTTGAATTCTCATTTATGTGTGTTCTATCAAGGCTTTGGTATTATTTTCCAGTGCCACTTCAAGAACAGCACTGTTAATTAGAACCCAACAGTGAATGGTCGGATGGGGAATCCTACCTATGCTATAGAATTAATATATCTTTTCAATATTTTATAGTGATTTTTGCTAAGATATAATAACAAGAATACTAGTAGTTAAATAATTCTAATGAAAAATATGTATGTAAGAATGTAAGAATGAATGCAGCTAAGAAATAACAACAAATCATATGCATTTTTAATGTATATTTTCACATTGTTCTTTAAATTTAAAAACATAAAACATGTTAAAAAATGTTATAGTAGTAACATGTTAAAAAAAAAACTTAGGGACGAGTTTATTTATGACTATAATCGTATATTGTGCTATTACTCGTTTTTTTCTTTCTCTTGTTCTTATTCTACTATATATTCGCCAATGTCATCTGCTCCATCCATATTAATTTTAAGAAACAAGGAATATCTAACAATCTAAGTACCTCTTTAGAGAAAGGTTTTCGTCTTCTGAGGACTTTGACTCTATGAGATGATTTTTCGGAATCAGACGACACTAACATTCTACTGGTTTTTCCAGCGTGAAATAATCTTAGATGTTTTTGTACTTTTTTATGGCTGGCCTCTAACACGTCTTCTGTTAGTTGTCCTACAGGTAATGGCAGATATTCTATAATATCATAGCCATGGATAAGTATTTTGTGAACTGAGGGACCCATTTTATACCAGCCATAGAGTTCTAAGTTTAACTTAGCTTATCAAGGAATTAAGTTCGGAATAATTCTGTATTTATATATTGCCCAATAGACAAGACCGATAAAATCTGTCAATTAGGTTGAAATTTAATCCCGTAACCTATGCTACGTTCTTCGGATTATCAAAAAATGTTCTTGCTGAATTGGCATCGTTACGATTTAGGTTGATCAACCACTACTTCCACATTTTGATGAAACTTTTTAGTTATCATGGATTTTCTTTCCTGAACACTTTGTTTTGCATGTTCTCCTCGAGCTTGTCACGTTTATATTTTATATGTCCAGCTTATATGAAATATGCAAAAGAAATTCATAGAACCTTTAGTAGGCATGGAGAACGGATATTCAAAATTTGTACGTTTCCCTGTTACACTGTTTGTTAAGAACTTTTGTAAAACAGTTATATTATTTGATGTTATATTGCAACATTACATGCTTGAGTGGATATAGTATTTGTTAGAACATTGCAAGTTTTTTCATCAAGCATTGTAAATACAGGAATATGTTCGAAACTTAATTTACTTTCATCAGTTATTGAGAGTTTCGTTAGTAAAAGTTGAAGAGTTAATTTCACAATAGTCTGGTTTCACATTTTTAGGAGTTTCTTTTTTAACTTTAAAACAAATCGGGTGACAATATCTTCATAAAGACGGTTGAATATTTTTCTAATAAATTACTTTTTTATTATTAATATTAGATGAAATCTCCAATGGTACAAATTGTACATAATATTATATGGGAATCGATATATTGGGAAGAATTCGAAAAATTTTGTTTGTATATACTATGACCCCCACTACCATCTAGACCCCACTTGTATATAACATCAATTTCGGTTATTTTCTCTGGATTTGAACCAAACGAGTAATACTGTGATCCAGTAGGTCTTGTAACGGAATTTTAGCTTCAGTCTCTGTAATCATGATATTTAGTGGATAGCAATCTAACTTTGCTTGAGACACAACATTAAAAGAAGGATACATATTTGCCCCTGTTTTCTTTGCTTGCTGGTATTGCTCTTTACCTATATGTAAATCCATAATAAGAGCTAGAGATTCCTCAGGCGTATAAGATATGAATGAAGTCGATAAAGACTGAGCTTCTTTAATTTTCTTCAGTCTTCGTGGTATTGTAGTTAGTGCTAATTGCCTCAGTTCGTTTTCTGCTTTTCACCAAACTTACTTCAGTAGCTTGAGTTAGTTCTTCTGAAAAAATATAATGGTACAACTCGAGTGGATTGTCCATATCCACTCTTGTTCTGTATGATTTGTTTGTATTATTGTTTGCATGTAAATTTTGATTTGTTTCCCGTTAAATGTTGGATTTTTGCGTGTGTGCACCGGTGGGATTCGATTCTGTGACCTTTCGAACTCAAAAGCATGACTCCCATTATCAGTTTTTGTCTGAGCATATACATTTGGTACATTTTCATTTTTCCCTTCGTGAAACCGCAATCGTGTGATTCTAACATTTTCTGATTATTCCTCCATTCTCTTAAATATGTTTTTTGATATTTTACATTTATTACTTGCCTAGGTCACTGGGACACTTATTAATGTAGCAAAAGTAAACTAGTTTAATTTGTTTACTCGATAAATAACTGCAGATCATTTCTTAATCGTTACCATAGGATTTTTGGCTTGTTAATAGATTAATGATGAAGTACTTAATTTAAATAACAACGGCTTAAAATAACTTATTGTTTGCTTCCATTCCAAGTTTCACATATTTGTCCCTAGAAGATATATTTATAAACCTATTTACAAAATACAATAATTATAGTTTTATTTTGATTAATAGTTTTTGTAGTCTATGCATTTTAACTAATGATTTTTGTTTGTTTCAGAGTTTTTTAAATCTCATTAACCATGTCCGACGAGGAAGAAGTTTACTCGTAAGTTGCTCAACTTAAAATCGCTAAAGGAGCTTAACGCAATTACCCAACCCAGTTATTTTATGTAATTTTTTAAATTTTTTTTCGTTGTTATAATTTTGTTTATTTTTTTTGTCCTTTGAGCTTAGTTGCTAACAGCAGCGAAAAATCTGTTGTCTCTGTCTAAATTTTCGTTTTTTTTTTAACAATTTTAGCGAAGAAGAGGAGGAGGAAGAAGTCGTTGAAACGTAAGTATTGTATAAATAAAATAATCCTAAAATTATTTATAAAACTATATGTCAATACTTCAATCTTGCATATAGTTTTTATAGTAATTGTAATTAAAAAATGTAGTAGTTTGTAATACTAGAATGACATATTAAAATGTTAATAGTATAATTACTTATTACCTACAAGTGCAGTTCTATATTAAAGGGGCCTGTGACAAAATTTGGTAGAAGTCTGCCTATATTTAAAAATTGTTTTATGATTTTTAGAATGTATCATTAAAAAGACAATACAAGGTGTTTCAGAATAATCTTTTAGGGCTAGTACGTCAAACAATAATGTTAGTTTATTTAATATATTATTTAATAATTTAATGTCTGACTACGCCACTTTTTCAACAATATTTTAAAAACTTATTAACCGATTTAAAACAAAACTAGAAAATAGAAAAAAGAGCGGAAATATATAATTAACCCTTTAATTCTTATTTACCCATTCACAAAGAGATGTTTTTTGGAAAGTGAATTTGAATAATGTTGTACAATAATACTCTAAATTTGATTATTTTTATTAAGAAAACTGATATTCTTTTTTGACCTATTTTTAGCCCTGGAGAGTAAGTCAGGTCTTTATGAAACACCCAGTATATGAGAAGTTTTATTATGTATACAGTCTACAGTAAATATCGTAATAAAGGGGCAAGACCTTTTAGAAAACCTCTAAATTTGCTTTTAATATTTTGTGACAAGGGGATATTTAGAAGTTTCCAGAAAAATATTATTATAACCTCACTAAATCATAGATTGTTCTGGAATTTGTGCCAACTAATCAGTATGAATATATTTGAATGTAACCACCCTCTAGCCGTGATTTGGGAAACTTTTTAAATCTCTCCACCAGTAATATAATTTAAATATATTACAATTTAGAAAGAAACAAAATTAATATTTATACAATTAGGTGAGATTGGCGATTAGATTACTTAGAAAATATAATAGAACTGCACAAAGTACTTATTTGTTCTTGTAGTCTTGTTTTAATACTTTGTGTTTTTATTTTACAGAAAAACGTAAGTTTTTCAACCTAAGTTCTCCAAATAGTTACACCTGGTAGAATCGTATGTGTAGAAAATAGTAGAATAGTTTTTTTTATTATATTTTAACTTAGTTTAGTTTTTCGTTTCTGTTCTCACCTTACATGTTTTTTTAAAGAACATTTTTATTATTATTCGATTTTTCATTTTGATTTTTTCTTCCTTTTTTCCAATGCCAACCCCACCCTGCCCCCTTGTGACGTTCGCTATAGGACTACCACCACTACCACCAAAGTCGAGTAAGTTTTTTTGAGATAAATGTTAGCAGTTTCAGCGCTTCCAAAGCTGCCCAATTATGTGTAAAAACTTTTTGTACATAGCCTGTATTTATGTATGTTTTGTGTGTAAAAGTTTAAAAAAAGATGCAAAAAACATCAGTAAAATTGTTACAGATGTACAAAAAGTACCATTTTTAATATTTGATTAATATTAAGTTTGCTTTTAAGCTTTCTCTCCAAAATAGCAATATGTACTTTTTGGTTAATTTTTGTACTTTTATTTTTCAATATATTAAATGTTTTTTCGCACAATTACTGTTTTAATGTTGCTTGAGTTTTCATTTTTACGCAAAAGCAACAGAAGTGCAACTAAAATATAAATGAATAATAAAAATTATATAATTTTTTCAAAATATTATTTGTTGAGTTTAATAATGTCATGGTAATGCATGATGATGTACAAAACATAAATTGTTTTAAACAAAAAAATTCGAGAAAATATTTTTTTTTTAATATGTAGTACTAGTAGACGAACTAATATCTGTAGATATATACTGCCTGGGGTATACCGATGACCGGTCGATCGTCGTAAGAGACAAATTTGCAGGTACAAAATCGGAGTGCACACAAACTTATCTAAACATCGGTGACGAGTGGTATTGACAGGGCTTATGTTACCAGTCCTGAAAAGAGTGAAAATCTGTTTGTCCAAGAGGCCATATACTTAGGTGTCAACTTTGACCACAGGTTAACAAGAAATCAACAACTTGTAAAAAGTCATCCAAGAAGACACAGGATGTGCGGAAAAAATTGGAGACTACACCAAAAAATGCTCCTATGGCTGTACACCAGTCATAATGTCTACATGTCGGTGGTATGGTGGTCAAAAACTCAGCAAGCTTGGGCCTTTCTACAGCTCCACGATTTTTAAATAAAAGCATGCTTGAGTGCCACTGGATCCATGAGAACAGTACTTGAAATGTCAGCCCTATAAATCATGCTAAACCTAACATCACTACACATATTCGTTCAAGGTTAAACCAGATCCGTCATATATAGATTGCACAAAAGTCCATCACTCATAAGCAATCTGCATGGACTATAGCGAGCTATATAGAGAGTTGGAGAACGACTAAATGATAGGAATGCCTTTAGACGAAATATAGCTTTCCAAAACGATATAAAGAAAGTATACCAGACAAGCAAGCATGGACGGAATTCAATAGTAGGTACCTATATATAGTTCCAAGCTAAAGATAATAATCTCATTGAGCTTAGGTAAATATGTGACAGTATTTCGGACAGAACTGCTCAAAAGATGTATTAAGGTATAAGCTAAATAGAAGATACTTTAAAAGCACTCAGTTCCATTCAAGTGCACTCAAAGCTTCTGTAAGATTTTTCGGTAGCCATAACAGAGCTAAGTAGTCAAAATAGACTAACGTTAGCCTCTATACCAGGCCACAGAGGATATGAGGGAAATAAAGAGGATAAGTTACTTGCCCAAGAAGTAGTCTCAAAAAATCTTATTGGCCCAGAACCACCCTTCTGTGGTGTCACAAAGAGAGCTATTAGAGCATGCACAAAGCAATGGGTATTAAAGAATCTCAGGAGTGATAAAACAATTCACTAGGGCAGAGACAGACCAAAGATTTCTTAAAAAACTATCGCCAAAACTCACCGAGGATCTACTAAGTCATGGTAGGAAAAATACTAGAGTACTAGTAGGCCTATTAACAGGACACTGTAGGCTTAACAAACATATAAAATTGGCCTGGCAGAAGATACCTCGTGACAATTTTGACACGAAAAGAAGGAAACTGTAGTACACGTATTCTACCGTGTTTAATACTTGACCATGAGAAAACAACAATCACTTACGCCCATATTTCTAAGGGTTAAATCTCGGGTTACATCCATGAAAGTTATAGAGATGGACAAAAAATTCATTGTTGTCATGCGTAGTGATCATATTTTTATTTCAAGGAAAATTGTAGTTACGGTCATTTGAATTAACACGACAGTATTGTGGTACTGCAAAGGGTATAACAAGACTAAGCTTCCTTGCAACTGGAGAAGAAAAACAAACCATGGGCAACAGCTACGCCGGAAAGCTACTGCCTAGGTTACGGAGTCTACAAAAATAAACAAACAAGACAAGATACTCTTACCAACGATTAAGGGATATCCACCCATAGTCCTAACAAAACTAAATCTATTCTAATTTAATCTCTAGTGATGCTGTAAAGAGTGTTTTAATGGTCCAAGAAACACATTGACCATAGTACACTATTATGCAAGAGTTTAATGAAAGGAATTGTGTCCCTCATTCATTGAATAAATTTGTTGTAGTTTTAGGAATTTGTCAGGCATTACTTTGCATATTTACTGTTTTATAATAAAATAATATTTTGAAAAACAATATATCAAACTTTATTTTGGCTTTTTCAAAATTCTTTTTGTCTTACAGCTATTTTTTTAACTAAATCTTTGGTCAAAAAATTAAGCTTAATTTTATTAGCTTGAGCTATTTCAAGCATTGATCTATCAAGAAAAAGACTTTAGTGATGTCTATCGGTTAAATATAAGTATTTAAAAGTTTTCTTAACTTTACTACTAATATATTTTAAAGTATCGTTTTTAATTTCTTTCATCCATTTTTGTCTTTTTCCTGTTTTCCTTTTAACAAACTAGAGTTACTTATTTCTTAGTACAAGTCCTACTAAAAATATTTTCAATATATTTTCAAAATATTTTCAATATCTTTTCAAAATATTTTCAATATCTTTTCAAAATATTTTTATAGAAAGGCTAGGTACTAACCCCAAAAGAGTCAACTATGTATGTTTCGGCCTTCTAAATTTTCATTATTGAGCTTCTCATTTTTATACTTTACTGGCTACTGGCTACTTTATTGGCTACCTTTTCCTTCTTTTTTTTTTTAAATCTTTGAATCGATATTTGACTTAAAATCTTAAGGCATCACTAAAGCCATCTATAACAATTTCATACAGTTCCTAATATATTTTTCCCAAAATAGAGAAGGAGCGGGAGATCCAGAATTCATCAAACGTCAGGACCAGAAGAGATCAGATCTCGATGAACAATTGCGTGAGTACATCACAGAATGGCGCAAACAACGCGCAAAGGAAGAGGATGACCTCAAAAAATTGAAGGAAAAACAAGCTAAGCGCAAGGTCGCCCGTGCCGATGAAGAAAGAAAAATGGCTGAACGTAAGAAGGCTGAAGAAGGTAAGAAATCAACGAAATTAACTAAGTCAGTGTTTGCCAAATATTCTCAAAACGTAGAATTAAACTGGAACAGCCTTAATTGGAGGTTAGCTATTCTTTGAAGACCAAACCAATTATATTTATATTTTTTCCAGAGCGTCGCGTACGTGAAATTGAAGAAAAGAAACAGAGGGACATCGAAGAAAAGAGACAACGTCTCGAAGAAGCTGAGAAAAAACGTCAAGCCATGATGCAAGCTCTTAAGGACCAAAACAAGAACAAAGGACCCAACTTCACCATCACCAAACGCGATGCAGGAGTAAGCACTAAAGTTCTTTATACTCTTTACAGGAGGAGCCAGTAAGAAGGGGAACAAACATTACTGACTAAGCTTGAGTTACCTAGTACTTCATATAAAAACTAGTTGATTTGATAGTACCTATAGTTTAGAGATGTTCACTTAGCTGTTGGCGCTGGTTCGTATTTTGGTATGAGCTTTAGGATATTTTTGATTCATACCTCTATGGATTTCTTTACAGTTTCTTCATAGTTCTGACAGTTTATAAGCTGCATTAAATCAATATAAAAAAAGGTTTTCTAAATTATTTAATGAATGGTATATTTTATATTTAAATGTCAAATAGAAATTTTGTAAAACCTTAAACTCTCTATTGCAGACACCGTTTTGTACATTTATTACAAAATACACAGAAAACATCGTATTTTCATAATATCTTGTTAATTTATTTAATGAATATTATATGTATGAGAAAAAAACACTAAAACAGCAGCTAAAAATTTGTGGAAAATTGTTTTCTCAGAATATCCCCAAATCTACTGATGCTACATTCAATATATTATATTCCTACTTTTAATTTTATAAAAGTACAAAAGTTATAAAAAAGACTGATATTTGATTATTTTTCGTAACTGGCGCCGATATCTATTTTTTTATATATATATATTTTGGATCTTTTATTTTAATTATAAAAGATTGTATACATATAAATTTGAAATATGGAAGTACTGCCTTGAAAATTGGTTTTGTAAGGTTGCCAATAAATAAATTACTAATTTTCTTAAATATTTTATTTTGTGGCAGTCTATGTAATGTTTATTCCTCATTGTTACGTTTTCTTCATTTGTTTTTATGTTCAAACTAAATTAAAGTTACTGACTTATCTGTCATTTAAGTTATTCGTTCTTCTATAATTTTTGAGGCTAATGTTTAATATGCTTGTTTTAGAAACTTGGAAAATTTAATATTTTTTGCTTTTAATACTTTAATGAATAAACGTACCTATATTAAATATTAATATAAATGGGAAAACATTTTATTAAATGCTTTTTAGAAAATAAAATGACTATACAAATCTGAAAACAAATATAATTGGATACGATATTATCATATTGGATTTATTATCCTTTGTTTGTTCTTCTAGTGCCTCATTTTGACATTATTAATATTTTATTTATCATTTTATCCATTCTTTGCATTTGTACCCATAATCTTAAACATTGTTTTTCTATAATTTCTAGCTCCTATTTTAATTATTGGTTTTACTAAATGAATAATTTTTTACCATTTTTTTTTATTTGGTAACCACAACTCAAAATTATAAAGCTATTGTATCTACTATATACATATTCGGAAATTAAAACGCGGACAAAACAAGCCAAATCAGCGTAAGTAGAAATGTACATGTACTGTCCGCGAGGCTGCAATAAGTAATGCGATGCGCAGTTGTCTTTGTTTGTTTTATACCGTTTAATTTATTGTAAAATCGGGGGACCTCGATCAGATTTCCGTACCTATATCTTTATCTAAGCATAAGTTTCCTTTTTTTTATAAAATTTTTATTGATTTGTCAAAACTTTTACGATTTTTGTGGTTCTATTGACTTCAGTTATGACTTCTATCATGATGCAAATTATGGAAAATGTGTTGTAACGTGTAATCCACAAAATTACATTTATGTCACGTCTGAAATATTGAGGAGAATGATCTAAAATAAGCTGCTTCTTTATGACTGATTTATTACAAGACTAACTGAGGTGAATTACCCAGTCAGTCATTATAAATGTCATCAATAAAATCATATTCTGTACCATGTATGTCTTCTAGATTCAATCGTTTAGCCATTCATAATTAATGTTTCCACGAATAATATTACAAAAAGTATTTAAAATCCTGTTCTTTAGTTGTTTTAGTCCATTATTTGCTTCTGAGTAATTTGACAGACGATTTCTCCAAATGTGACTGCCAATATGACTATAAACCTTATTTTTTCAAGACAATTGTTTTGATTCTGATTTACACTATCCGAGTTCCTATTATAATCTCTTACAATCTGCAATCCCTTACATTCTGTAATCGTTTATATTATGTAAACTTTTACAGTCTGTAAACTCTTACATTCTGTAAACTCATACGTTCTGTAACTCTCACGTTCTATAAACTCTTACATTCTGTAAACTGTTACATTATGTTAACTCTTACTTTATTTAAACTCTTACATTCTGTAACTCTTACATTCTGTAACTCTTACATTCTGTAACTCTTACATTCTGTAACTCTTACATTATGTAACTCTTTTATTCTGTAACTCTTACATTCTGTAAACTCTGACATTCTGTAAACTCTAACATTCTGCAATTTTTTACTTTCTGTGATTTTACTACATATTTAAGTAACAGAAGAACAATAACTATTAGTTCCAATAAATATTTTAGTTTATATAAACATAAATTAAAATGCAGCAACTACTAATTTTAAATAATCCATTTTAGTGAAGCTCGATTGAAAGATACGATTTGTTTTTATTTATCTAAGTTTATAATTCAATGTCTATTTTTAGGCAAACCTTTCTGCAGCTCAATTGGAAAGAAACAAGACCAAAGAACAGTTGGAAGAAGAAAAGAAGATTTCCCTATCCATTCGTATCAAGCCCTTGGCCGTCGAAGGTCTAAGCGTGGAAAAACTCCGCGTAAAGGCCCAAGAATTATGGGATTGCATCGTCAAATTGGAAACTGAGAAATATGATTTAGAAGAAAGGCAAAAACGTCAAGACTATGATGTAAGTCAAAGCTTACTAAATATAAATTTTCAGGGATTTTTTTAAATATACCCAACAACTTTGTACACACATACTAAGCTTTGGAACTAAGCATTAATTCTGAGAATATTGTTTTAATGTTTAAGTTCCTTTTACTAAAGAATATACATATTACTTTCCAACCAATTTCTAACATATCCAACCACATATTTAATCTTCATCGAATACAAAATTTGCAATTATATTTTCTTCTCTATTACAGCTTAAAGAATTGAAAGAAAGACAGAAACAACAACTTAGACATAAAGCCTTGAAGAAGGGTCTCGACCCTGAAGCCCTTACCGGCAAATACCCCGTAAGTATTACTTTTTTAAATATTTAGTATAACCTATTTGATTAAATATTGTAATTCAACGATATTTTTATTTCTATTTTCAGCCTAAAATCCAAGTAGCCTCCAAATATGAACGTCGTGTAGACACTAGGTCGTACACTGACAAAAAACACCTGTTCGAAGGGGTAAGAAATTATTTATATTATTTACTATTGAGGATACTTATTACAACACATTTTTTAATACCGTATAAAAAAACTCATAGGTGAGGTAACACAACATATATATATATATATATATATATATATATATATATATATAACAGTTGAAACAAGTTATTCTTTGGATAAATATAGACATACCATGCTTATGTAATCACACACGAAAAATTATAAGGAACTCGCGCTGCGGCTAACAAGGCGTAACTGTTTTTTATAGTAGTTACATGGTCTTTATCAAAAGCTCTGGTGCCATATTTATAGAATTGCCTACATACATACGCATATTATATCACTCTGACATCTAAAACAATCGATAAAATGAGTTAAGTAGAACAAGTAATTGGTATTCGGTTAATACCTGTAGGTAAATAAAAGCCCATTCTTCTAAAATATTCATTTTAATTATAGTTTTTAATTTAGATACCGACAATCAGAGTGTAATAAAAGATAAATATTAGGGCGAGAGTTTTCTTGCATTTAATCTTAGTTTAAAATGATTGACTTCAAATTTACGAATTTGGACATAAAAGCGTATGTGCTGAGATGGCCCAATTGGTATAGCGTAGACGGTTCCGGGTTCGATTCCCGATCTTGCACGCATTTTTCTTTTTATAATTCTTAGCTTTTAGGGATTTTTCATTTTTAAGAATTTCCACATCTGCATTTAGTTTTCGGATCCAAACCGATTTTCTCACTTCACTTTTTTTATACATAATATTTTGGAGCCTATCATAAATATGGCTATCTTTAAATTCAATTTAATCATTTTTTAAACACTAAATTCCTCCAGCGATAACAATAATATGTTAGCCTGTTATAGGTACCTACCTAAATGTTTTTTATAAAATTTATATTTAATATTAATGAAGTTTCTGAATATATGTTACATACTTCTAGGGCTTTTAAAGTTGCAACAACTTTTGGTATTTAAAAGAACATTATTAAGCATATCTAGATGGACCACGTGGCAATATTAGGTAATTTCGAATTAGAGTAAATCATATTCGTTCTCCTTCTGATGAAATTTTAAAGCCAGGATGGCCGTCGTTGTCCTTTGTCTACGTTATAATTGAAAACATTATAATTTAAATCTGTATAAAAGATTATTTAAAGGGTAAGAAAAGAGAAAAATAGGAAAAGGCAAGAATAAACGGAGAAAACTAAAAAATATTGATAATTCTACTAGTTAAGATTAAGTAAAGGTCTATTCTATACAAGATTGGCATTTATTAAATTTGACGTGACAGCTCGATGAGAGTTTGAAAATAGAAAAGAGAGTAAAATAACTAAAGGAAGGTTAAAGAGGTAACTAACGACAAACTAAGAAAGGAAGAATAATAGGTTTAGGGAACTAAATAATCTGAAATAAAAGAGCCTTTAATAATAGTTATCAGGCAAAGTTAAATAAATCTATCATATTTGATAAACTAGAATGACGACATATAATGCTTATTTTATACTCTTCATAGTTTAATAGACCTCCTTAACCCCTATTTTCAATCAGACTTTTTTTCATAACCAATAGGCTGCATCCCGTTATAAAACCTGATTTTAATTTTATATCGTTTTTGTTTCTTGTTTCTTTTTTAAATATTTCAACCCTCCTTATCCCTCCATTTTTATTTAATTTTTTTTCAGGATCAATAGGCTTCATGTTCATATAGTGTTTGATTTTTACAAAAAATTTCAAGGTGATATCGCTATTCGTTTTTAATTTAGGATTTTTTTTAATGTCAACCGCCCCCCTTAACCCCCCCATTAATTAGATTTTTTTCAAAATCAATAAACTTTTTGCCCTTATAGAGCTTAATTTTGATTTAAGAAAACGCAATAATTTTTTTAATTATTAAAATTTTAAATAGCATGACTGTGTAAGCCAGTATATTTATCTAGATTATTTTTGTTTCAACTTCTGAATCTATATTATAGTGAAACGCTTTAAATAGTAGATACTAGAAAAAATTTAAATAAAAAATTTAAAAAACCAGCTGTATTTCATTAAAAAATATATACAAGGTACATAATTCACTCCGACACACGTCATGCCATAACACTTTGTTTAATATCACACCTACAAGTTATGTTTTGATTTTTTTGCATTAGGGCTTTGATATGCTTACTCTGGAAACTATGGAAAAAGTCTGGAAACAAAGAATCGAAGATTTTATGAAGAGACCACGTGGTACGTTTTTTCTTGAAAAATGTCCACAGTCTTTTCAAAAATATATGTGTGATGTTATGTCAAGTGTCTTTTTGTTGTCTGATTTTTTTATATATTTAAATTAGACTAGATTTTTTCTAATGTTTTATTTTACTTGAAATATAGTGACAATAATAAAACATTGGCACGTTAAAATGGTGTAAAAATGATTTATTTTATCATATGTCTATTTATCTTGTCAACAGCATCGATTACTATATCACCAGTACTCTCGATTTCCATGATGTTTCTATTTTTTTCTTTTAAATAGTAAATATAACTTTTTAAATTGGTATGACGTATTCCTATATATGAAAATTAAATATATTTCTATATCTGTCAAAAGTTATACGTTATACGCTATAAAGGGGTATAAGTGGTCACCCAATCTCTTACAGCACATAACGGGTACAATTACTAAAATTAATTTTTTTTAAATTTATAAAATATTTAAAAACTTTTTCGATTTAGGTAATGACACTGTGTCCGGTAATTGTATGTGCATGAAGCTACTACAGATTTATGGGCACAAAATAAGTTGATTTAACCGTCTGACCTATATAATAACTTGCTTCTTTTGGCTGCTAGGAGTCAACAAAGTTAAATAGAAATATCTGATTTTTCTGTAATATACAGAATTTGGTCAATTTAAAATATCAAACTTTGTACGAATACTAGGCGATTTATGGCCTATTAATTGCGGCAGGAACACTTTTTCTATTGCGATCTAAGCGTCTTATTGGGGGGAGAGCAATGGACATTTTTCCTATTTTTTGTCACTTTTTGGTATTTTAGGAAACTATGGAGTTTTTACTCAAAAAAGTTACCTCTATTCCATGTCGCCAAGATGTATCGCTATGCTTAACATCCATATTTAGTACTATTAAAGATGGTAAAAATGAAAAATAACACATATTTTATGCAGTATACAGAACACTGTCTGTAGGTGTTGAAGGCACCGAAACTTTGTGTGCTCGTATTTTTATAGTAAGGAGTGTATTTTTTAATAAACAGTGCTTAGTAATAAATACTTGTATGTTTATGTTATCAGTATAAGTGTCAGATATTGATTTAAATTTATTATCGTACCCTTTACCATGAATAAAACTTACACATACAATGAACAAGTTGATATGGTTTATAAATATTGAAAGGCAACTTTATGGAAATGGTAGATTTAAATCAAGGAATGTGGATCGAGGGCGAGCGCGTACGACAAAAGCTTAAGATTAAGAAACAGTTAGCACTAGACATGTAAAACATAACATAGCAGTTCCCAAATATGGCGACATCGAAGAAGATAAACTTTTTTAGGAAAAACTCAGTTTCTTATTTTACTGGCAGAAATGTCAAAAACTGGCAGATAAAAAATTAGGGAAAATGTCCTTTGCCCTCCCCCAAATAAGACACTTATGGTCACCTTAGAAAAGTTGTTCCTGCTGCTTTTCATCAGCGAGCTAGTATGTATTCGTAGCAAGTTTAATTTTTTTAAATGGCTTAATTCTAGAGATTAAAGAAAAAACAAAGATATTTTTATTTAACTTTGTTGTCATCTAGCGGTCAAACGTATCAAGTTAGTATATAGGCAAGTTAGGTTAAATCAACTAATTTTTAGCTAATAAATCTGTGTTACCTCCATGTACACGCAATTTCTGGACACTCTAGATATATAGAGAGCTGAGCAAATACATTGAATAATATTTATTATTGCTTGCTATATGCTCGAGGTTTTGTTGTTGTAAGTATGTGGTGTCTATTTTTGTTTGAATGTGTTTTTGTTTTTTTAACAGGGCCTTGAGAACATGGTAAAAGACCTCAATGAAAAATCTTGGAAAGAGAAATTTGGACAATTCGATTCCAGACAAAAAAGTAATTTTGCGCTGTTGTTGTACGCATAATATTGCATGATCATTTTTACTAACAATAAAAAAAAGTTCAACATAGCACAAGTAAAATAGAACAAACAAATCGTCAAATTATAAATTTTACCTGCATTTCTAGAATTAAAGACCTTTTTAGGTGAATAACGCACGAGCCGCGGCGGATAACGGTCGCGCGGATGTTAAATTATACAGTGAGCATCATAAATCTTACCCCCCCTAACTAACTCGTTACTGGGGTCTTGGTAGGAAAATCGCCGAGACAGGTCGATTTTTGATTTCTACAATATACATTTTTGTATGATTAGTTTACCCTTAATTTCATCAAAGGGTAGCAACCCTTTCGAAAAATTTAAATGGCATGGGGTGGTGAGTGATAGCTCATTTTAAAGGGGGTTTTATTCTATATTCAACAGTGCAAAAAATTTTGAAATTTGCTTCATTACGTGTTGATTTATTAATGTTTAAAAATGACAAAACCTTACAAAATAGGAAAGCAACTAGACTAACAGTGACCTTCTAATGGCATAAAGTCTTACTTCACGTCTGAACCAAAACCGAAATCATGCAGGGCCGAATTTTAATTCTAAAGATGAGTGCGCTACGTTAATTTCCGTTATTCTGAAACAACAATTAGTCGAGAATTAATGAAGCAAATTTCAAATTTTTTTACACGGTTGAATAGAGAATAAAACTCTCTTTCAAATGAGCTATCACTCACCACCCTATGCCATTTAAATTTTTCGAAAGGGCTCCCCTCCAGTAAGGGATGCAATTAAGGGTAAACTATTTATACAAAAATGTACATTGTAGAAATTAAAAATCGACGTGTCTCGGCTATTTTCCTAACAAGACTCCAGTAACGAGTTAGATAGGGTAAGACTTATGGTGCTCACTGTATAGGAATATATGCAGACACCGCACTGGCATGCGCCATGCCAATGCGTTGTCTGCATATAAATTAACATCCGTGCGATCACCATCCGCCGTGGTTCGCGGCTCGTACGTTGTTCACCTTAAACGAGGCTTTATTTAATTAATAATAGGCTATACTCTTTGGTTTTAAACAAAATTCATTAAAAAACAACATTGTACTTAGCTAACATCTACATTGCCTATCTGTACTAAATCTCAAACCTCTTTTGATAATATCCATTTTTATCTGCAGCAAGACTTCCAAAATGGTTCGGTGAAAGGCCCGGCAAGAAACCTGGAGACCCCGAAACTCCAGAAGGAGAAGAAGAAGGTAAACAAGCCGCTGATGACGATGAAGATCTTAAAGAGCCCGTGATTGAACCAGAGCCAGAAGAAGAGGAAGAAGAAGAGGAAGTTGAGGTTGATGAAGAAGAAGAGGACGATGAAGAGGAGGAAGAAGAATAAATGCCAAAATAATAAATGTGTAGGTGTATAAAATTCATAATTACACTACAATTCTATTTTTTTTTTCACTATCTTTACCCATTTATTTCCTATAAAAGATTTACTATCATCCCCTTAATATAAAAATATTTTACTAAACAGTTCAATAAATATTTTTATACTAGGTATAATAAAAAGTTATAAAATCTATTTTATTTCTTTTTCAGATCTTCTCTGGACATAACATCACGTAACATCAGATTCTCAAATAAGTATAAAAAATAAATAAACTGATATCAATAGTTTGTTTTTTTGTTCCAACACCTTATTATCATTATTATATTTTAAAAGAAGTGTAAATGTAATCTTAAAAAACTAAAGGTTAATTATGGTATGGTGTTTTGTTTATATGTTAGGTTTAAGTTGAAAATAAACCATTTGAATATTTAGAAAACGAGTTTCTATTCCTAAGTTCAGCGATATGAGACGCTTCCTTAAAAAAACTCTGTCTTTGAAAGGATTCGAAGTATGGAGTGTATCCTAGCATATCCTTGTTTTTTTACAGGTCATACATTCGATTGATGTTAAATTGTGGGTATAGTATTCCTCCCCTAATATTATAACCTTCTATCTGTATCTGTAACGTGTGGAGGGTGGGTTACCCTCCACGGCACTTAGGTCTCACTAAGCCCATTGTGCATCCTCTTACGATGATTTGATGTATTTGACAACGTCGCCAAGAGGTGCATCTCTTATATCGGGTGGTGTTAGCCGATACTCACCGAACACAATTATTCTTATAAATGAGAGTGTCGAGCAATCGTAGAGGATATGCTCGATAGTCTCATCTTTTTGTTCGCACCCTCTGCAGAGTGCAGATTCTGACAGCCCCGTGATATGGATATGCGTCCGTACTTTGCAATGACCAGTCAGAATGCCTGTGACTAGGCGCAGATTCTGTCTAGTCATAGTCAACTATTTGTTTGCTGCAGTGTTGTCAGGATAACTTAAAAGGTCCCTGGTAACTCTGCAGTTTCTTGTTTCATCCCGTCTTTTACGAGGGAATGTTCTTTAATTAGGTATGTCACTACCGATTTTGTCATCAGAAAAATGGTTATCTTTTGATGTGGCGTGACCTCTGATCTATCTTAAGGTGACCACGTTATTGGATACTTCGGCCAAAACTTCGTGACATTCTAGTACTAACCCTCAATAAATTCGTGGCCTATTCAAGTGCTTGTCTGCTGTATGTATATATGAAAATGTTCCTTCCAGTGATATTGTTTCTGGTGATTTCCTTTGCTGCTATGAGAATCCTTGTGAGCTCTTTTTAATCTACACTGGCTCTACACTGGCAGTACTGCTCACAGCCCATTTTATGTTAAGGTTTAAGGATCTGGAGTATATTCCACATCCTAAGCCTTGTTTTGATTTAGAACCGTCGGTGTAGATACGAATGGTACCTGCTACTTCCGGCTCTTCGATTTGTTCTGTTACAACTTTATATGGCTTATGGAAGATATATCTCGGTGAGATGGAGTCCATGTTCGCTTGAAGCAATGTGAGCGTATCGAGCGCCTCCTGCCAAAAGCCACGTCCCACCTCACCAGATGATACATCAGGTTCTATTCCAACCGTGCGGAAGCGGTTCATTGTCGTCATAGCAACCTCCTTGATGTAAGTATTAAGGGGAGTGAGACTAAGAATGACTTCCATAGCTCTGGTTGGTGATGTTTTTATGGCTCCTGTATGTTGAGACATGCTATTCTTTAAATTTGTTCTAGTTTTTGGATAGTTGTAAATTTTTGGGTTTTTGGTATCCAGACAACTGCACCGTATGTTAGCATAGGTCTTATTATAGCCACGACTCTGGGGGAGAAACCTTAGGTGCGTTCTACGGTTCGGCAGCATTATTCATAAGCAATGTATGCTCTTTTGACTCTGTTTTCTAAATGCGAGTTCTATGTTAATTTGCTGTCAAAGATGAGACCTGAGTACTTCACCTCTGTTGCAAAGTTTAGTTTTGTGTTTAGGAGTTCTGAAGGTTTTATTTCCAGTTTTATCCCTTTCCCTATGAAAAGGACCATTTCAGTCTTCTTAGGACTGATAGACAGTGAATGGTCCTTACAACACTGTTCTATAATTTTGAGAGCTACTTGGATTCCTTCGCAGAGTATGTTCTCAAAATTCCCTGTTTGCAGAATGACCAAGTGACTTGCATATGCTATTGTGTAGTGCTGTCATTATTGAGGCGGCTGATGAGGGTGTCGAAGACCATGTTTTACAGTAGAGGTGATGATAACACCCCTCCCTGTGGACATCCCCTCGCAACCAAGCCTCTTATATTCACATCTCCTACACTTATGTTTACTGCTCACTTTGAGAGCATGTTATGTATTAACCCACTAACTATCTGTGGAACATTCCTGAAAATTAGTGAATGTATTATCTTGGGAAAGGTGGTTTTATCAAAAGCACCTTCTATGTCTATAAAAACACTCAAAGCGGACTCCTTATTGTCCAGGGCTCGTATAACCTGATTTATTGATCGTATTCAAAAAAAAGATCTTAGTATATGTCTTGGAGCAATGCAGTTCTTACGAAACTATGCAGTTTTAGCAAAATTCCAGGAACCACTTTTAAGTTAACGTAGAAAATATCTTGCTTGTAAATAAATATCATTTCATATATGTTTAACTAATAAAACATTAATTGTAAGAAAATTTTACGAACACCTAATGAAGAAAAAATAATCACGATGCGCTTGCTTGGTATATATATATATGTGTGTGTGTGTGTGTGTGTGTGTGTGTGTGTGTGTGTGTGTGTGTGTGTGTGTGTGTGTGTGTGTGTGTGTATGTGTGTGTGTGTGTGTGTGTGTGTGTGTGTGTGTGTGTGTGTGTGTGTGTGTGTGTGTGTGTGTGTGTGTGTGTGTGTGTGTGTGTGTGTGTGTGTGTGTGTGTGTGTGTGTGTGTGTGTGTGTGTGTGTGTGTGTGTGTGTGTGTGTGTGTGTGTGTGTGTGTGTGTGTGTGTGTGTGTGTGTGTGTGTGTGTGTGTGTGTGTGTGTGTGTGTGTGTGTGTGTGTGTGTGTGTGTGTGTGTGTGTGTGTGTGTGTGTGTGTGTGTGTGTGTGTGTGTGTGTGTGTGTGTGTGTGTGTGTGTGTGTGTGTGTGTGTGTGTGTGTGTGTGTGTGTGTGTGTGTGTGTGTGTGTGTGTGTGTGTGTGTGTGTGTGTGTGTGTGTGTGTGTGTGTGTGTGTGTGTGTGTGTGTGTGTGTGTGTGTGTGTGTGTGTGTGTGTGTGTGTGTGTGTGTGTGTGTGTGTGTGTGTGTGTGTGTGTGTGTGTGTGTGTGTGTGTGTGTGTGTGTGTGTGTGTGTGTGTGTGTGTGTGTGTGTGTGTGTGTGTGTGTGTGTGTGTGTGTGTGTGTGTGTGTGTGTGTGTGTGTGTGTGTGTGTGTGTGTGTGTGTGTGTGTGTGTGTGTGTGTGTGTGTGTGTGTGTGTGTGTGTGTGTGTGTGTGTGTGTGTGTGTGTGTGTGTGTGTGTGTGTGTGTGTGTGTGTGTGTGTGTGTGTGTGTGTGTGTGTGTGTGTGTGTGTGTGTGTGTGTGTGTGTGTGTGTGTGTGTGTGTGTGTGTGTGTGTGTGTGTGTGTGTGTGTGTGTGTGTGTGTGTGTGTGTGTGTGTGTGTGTGTGTGTGTGTGTGTGTGTGTGTGTGTGTGTGTGTGTGTGTGTGTGTGTGTGTGTGTGTGTGTGTGTGTGTGTGTGTGTGTGTGTGTGTGTGTGTGTGTGTGTGTGTGTGTGTGTGTGTGTGTGTGTGTGTGTGTGTGTGTGTGTGTGTGTGTGTGTGGGCGGTGAATAACTGGAAAATAATTGTACATGGTATCGGCTTTTTAGCGATTAGACATTTTTTGATAAAGAATACGTATTTTAAGACACAAGCTACGCTGGATTTGGGACTGGGCCTGTCTTAATAGGTGAATTGTGGAATTTATTTGGAACTGGTGCCCTGGTAGAGCGTATTCAAAGCAAGTAACGCATATTCCGAGCTGGAATTTAATAGAAGCAAGGTGGAAAAACACTGCAGCTGGGTGAGTCGCTCTTTCCTAGCATTTGTTCTTTCCTTTATCTCTTCTCTGTGTTGAATTTACTTGCGTTTTAACGTAGTATCGTGATTTATTTTTTGTTATTAAACAAATGTAGCTAAAATGGGAAAATAGAATAAAATATTAACTAGAAAAAGGGGCACCGTTAAAGGTAAATTAACTAGTTTTAATAAACTTTTGGACAATTTTGGAGTAAAAGAAAATGTAACAGAAGCGTTGTATGTTGAATTGGGAGCACGAATTGAAAGAATTAACGGTGTTTTGGGAGAGTTTGAGGATATAAATAACGATATTATAGTTATGAGTATTAATGATGCTCAATATGAGGGTGAAAAATTTGAAAATAACTTTTTTCATGCTATGATCAAGGAGAAATTGTTTCTCGTGGAGTTCGGAAAAAGTTTGAAGAAAAATATGAAGAAGATAATGGGGATAGTCAAAGTATTGATGGGTCTACAAGCTCTTTGGTGGTGGTACCACAGTCTAGGCCTCAATTTTCCGCCCTCCTCTATCAAATTTTTTAGGAAAGGTCGAAAATTGTTTAGAAATAAAAGATAATTTTAAAACACTTGTTTATAGTAATACAAATATTTCAAATATTAAAGTTTTATTTTCTGAAAAAAGCATTAGCATTGTGCCAGTTACGAAAAATGACAGCTGAAAAATATGAAATGCTGTGGCAGCTGTTATGTGACAGAATGATAAATTACCATTTGGATAATTTATTAAATCTGCCAAATGTACATAAAAAATCGGCTAGTAATTTGCAAAATATGTCTGATAATCTTACAGAGGTGTTCTATCAGTTGGAAAAATTGGGATTGTCTTGGGGTCCGTTCTTGATTCATTTAATGGTAAAAGTTGGATCAAAATTCATTTTTAAAGTGGGAAGAACAAAGGCCCAAGGATGAATTGGTAACTTTTGAACAGTTGTGTGTAAAAGAGTAGGTAATTTGAAAAATAGAGGAAAACAGAAGTTAAATCTGAAACAAAAAAGGATTTTAAACGTAATAGGTTCCATAAAAGTTTTGTATCAACAGAGTCAAGTCTGATATGAATTTTTTGTAAAAAAAAGCATTACATTTTTTATTGTCACAAATTTTTAAAACTGAGAACCTACAGTAGATATGAATATGCAAAAAAAGTTGGTTTGTGTTTAAATTGTTTAAAAGACACAACCCATATGAGGTCTTTATGTCCAGCCCCCAGATGTGAAAAATGTGGAAGGCAATATCACCGCTCACTGCATTATGAACCACGACAGGAAGATAAGGTGTTAGGTGCAGTTTCTAATGGAATAGATGGAAGTGCCCGAGACAATGGTGGATTAATGGAGGATGGTGTACCATCAAGT